TCTCTCTCTCTCTCTCTCTCTCTCTCTCTCTCTCTCTCTCTCTCTCTCTCTCTCTCTTGACCGTGTATGTCCTATGAGGTCACTGTTTGTGATTTCGTTGTCTGAGACATCACTAAAAGTCGTCCGGGAGAGAAGTCAGTAGGTGACCCGTCCCAACAGTCACGAAGATGTGAAACGACAACATCATGGGGTTGAAAAAGAAAAGGAAAGTTTGATATACATATATCGATATAACAACAACCAAAAACAAAACAAAACAAAAAAAAAAAACGAACAAGGAAATAGGGGGACGGATGCACCATCAAACGAACCCCCTGGGTTCATTTCATGGTGCATCCACCGCCCTGTTCCCTTGTTCGTTTTCAATCTTTATTTTTGTTATTATTATTATTATTATTATTATTCTTTGTTATATCGTTGGAACTGCTCCTTTTCAAAAGTTATTTGTGTGACGTTGTGGTCCCCCATGCACGTATCACCGGTTTGAGGGATTGGCGTCCTCGGGGTCTCCACCCCGCATTCCGGTCCCCACTCCTCGATGGTCGGCCGTGACGCCGACGGACAGTTGCAGCACAATGTTTCCCTCCTTAATGGCGCTTGAGACTGCTCCAACTTGGGTTGCAACCAACTTCACACCCTCTGTGCTTGCCCGAGCAAGAGTAACTGCTGCCATGCCCATCCCTTCACGCACCGCCAAACTAGAATCGAGCACAACCCCCTTCATAGACGACATTGGCAGGTGATCACTAGCGCGCTCTTTGCCCGTTGCCCCACACCGTTTCTTCCACAAGCCCTCCGATTCTTCGGCACTTGCAGCACTACGGCTCCCGCCTTCTGACGAGCCATGCCCAGTGGGTGTTTCCTTATCGAAAACACAGCTTTCAGCACCTCGTAAGTTTGATGATGCCATGGTATTGTCACGGGCGAGTGGCGGCCTTCAATGTGCCCACTCCATCTTCTCCCACAGCGGCTGCTCAAACGTCGTCAGGATTCTCTCCCTTTTCCTGTCTTCGTCGCTCATCTCCCAATATGAGGGCTTCCCCGACGCCTTACACTTTTGCAGGATGTCCTTCATGAGGTCGCACCACTTCTTCCTGCAGTCTTCTGCCGACCTGATCCAACCTGCTGCCTTCATCTTCTTGGACACCCACTCGTTCCTCACTGACCTTCTCGCGTGCTTCAGCCGACCAGACGCCATCATCATCATGGCGTCATCCTCCTTCATGAACCTCGCCAGATCAAGGCGCTCCTCCAACAGCCATGGCCTGGTTCTCCTCCTCCCCGACACATCGCCTCCCTCGGGCTGCGTGGCGTCATCACCTGTATCCACTTCACTGCCACTTTCAGGCACCCGTCCCCGGACACTGCCCCTCCCTCTTGACCGTCCGGGCACATCCGCCACTGGCGGATGTGACTCTTCTTCCCCGTGTCGCATGCTGGGTGATGGATCGCGCCCCAGTCGCACGATGTTCGGCAAGCGGGGACTGCATCGGTCGGCCATGTCTCCATGGTCCCTTGCCGATGGGGACGCACTGACGCCCTGCCGCATCCTCTGCACATCTTCAGTGACACCACCCCCAACAGTACGGAGGTTTGCCCACACCCTCTTCACAATGCCGATGCGTAAGTGATCGACCAAAGGGGGCTGTAGATAGGCGGGAGCTGGAGGAGGAATAAAGGAGGCGCCTTGGGAAGGTTGTGGACTTGGAGCCACCGGAATCCGCGTAGTGTGAACGGGGCAACGTGCAGTTCCACCCACCGCTGGCGAAGGTGGAGGACGAATGCGCGTACCGAGGTCCGAAAGTGGTCTGGATGGTGCATCCGTGCCAGATGCGAAGGTAACCAAGAAACGCATGTGCGCAGGTGATTGAGTGGCATGCCGAACCCAGATCTCCGGGTCCGACGTCATAGACGACAGCCCCATGGACAGCTGGGCTTCGAAACAGAGGTTCTCGTCCTGGATGTACCCCGGAAACCGGCTCCGTGGCCCTCCCGAACCGGGTATGTCCGACGCCCATCCACTGCCATCCATTCCTGCGACGTAAACGCCTGCCCACACCGCCTTCAGCTACACATCTGATGCAACAAAACGCAGAGGCCGGCCAGTAGCAGGACAAGGAAGACGAACAGCATCACAACGATGGCAATGATTACACTCACGAAGAAGAAGACGACGGCCACGATGATAGTCAACCACCACTGATGGTCGTGGGCTCTAGGCATGTGGACACCACAAGAGGCTGGTACGAAGCATGTCTGTGAACAAGAGCAACGGCAAGACGAACAGCCCGCCTGCTGTCCATCCCACTCGCGTCTCTGCACCGCCGTTGGACTGAACAAAACCACACGTGTGGAGGAGAGTGACATGTTCACGGGCTCACCCCTACTTCGCCAAATCGTACATGAGGGAGCACGGCGAGGAGTCGACCACCCGGTCCGGCGACGCCAGTGTTCGTTTGTCCACATGAAGCTGATGGACATGGCCGCGCAAGTGCGGGAGGGAGAAACTGACTGCCAACAACCCAGCCTTCGCCACTCTATCAGGGATTACGATCCTGGTGCAAGCAACAGGATTGTGATTGCATGCATCCCATGAAGCTCGTCGACATCCCTCCCAGAACACCCGCCGGCCATCAGCAAAGGAGGTCGGACTTGAGCCCACCCGACTCCATAGCCACGTAACCGAGCAACGCATGGATCGCATGCACACGTGCATGGCAACCACAAAAGATAAGGATGGGGGCGAAGGACCGTTGATGGCAGCACTTAACGGCAACAAAAATTCAACCGTCTGCATGGGTATGCTCTCTGCAGGGACGTAGACTCGTTGGGGCCATGCTGTACAAGCCACGGAGGAGCATGATGATATGCTCGACCACACTCGTGGCACACATCCGCAGGTGCCACACATGGCTCCATCCAAACACTCACGGACCCGTGTCCCCGGACACCTTCATCCCCGCCCGCTGTCCCACCACGGCGCCCGGAGCATGCCGCCCCCGTGTTGCCTCCCCCACAGCTCGCTGTCTCCCCACAACCTTTTTGAATTTGAATTCAAAAAGGATGCATCCTTCCCGCTGGCCGGAGGCGAGCAGACAAAAACGGCCTTCTGTGCGACACGACCTCCCCACAGACTTCCAACCTCGTGTTCCCGGGTGGACCACACCGTTGTCCGCTGGTTCATTGCTCTGCCAGACTCCGCTGGCAACGGAAGAGGTCCCTGAGGGCTAGCCTTCCCGGTGGGCAGTTTTTCCCGGATGAGGCACGGTCGACGTAGGCCAGACAAGGCCACGGACCGAGTGGAAACGCCCTGGTGTGCTCTTCCCGGCCACTTTCTCCGACCTGTGGGGTCTGCTGAACTGCTTCGCGGAGGCTCACAGTGAGAACCAGCAGTCTGTGGGGTCCCAGCCTTACAGTGTGTCGTACGTGTGGCGTGCTCACCACACTTGGGCTGAATCTGGGTCTCACGCTGGTGAATCTGGGTCTAATGCTGGTCAGATACCCCCTTATACGGTTGGTGACAGTCTGGGCTGAATTTGGCTGTTCTGGGTCTAATGCTGGTCAGATACCCACTTATACGGTTGGGGACAGTCTGGGCTGAATTTGGCTGTAAGTCTGGGGACCCTCTACATTCGGTATAGTAGTCTCTATTTTAAAGGTCATATTGTAGTAGAGGGTGGATGCTAGGCCTCGGGAGGTGCCTGTCGTCGTACTCAACCAGCGAGGGGATCAGATGGCTTTTGCCAAGTTGCCAACCCCAGGGACAGTCTTTCTGCAGGGGGTATCATTCGTGACCTATTATCATATCCTTATCTTATCAGACCCTATAGCAGTGTGACCCAGACCTCTCTATCTAGACCTAGACCTACACCACCCCGCCCCGTCCGAGGAGTCACAGACACCCCGGATGACACCCCAAATATTTTCGGAGTTCGAGCTCACGTCTGCATTTCAACAGTTCAGGGGTTACCAACTGAGCTAGGCGAGTTAATACTCTGCTTGTTTTTTTACCAAAGGCACACTTGGCCCAGCCCGTGCGGTCACGTCTGCATTTCAACAGTTAAGGGGTGTTCAGAGGTGTACCAACTGAGCTAGACCAGTTAATACTCTTTTTTTTGGGGGGGGGAAGGGGGAAGGGATTTAACATCCTGTGAAGACGTGCGGCACAGTGGTGGTAAGAGAACCAACTGGGTGGAGGGTTACATGTGCATGACTCCGTTCCATTGGTGGGGAGCTGCACCTGCTGGGAAACGGGCCCAGCGTCCCGTAAAACAAGATCATTAAAGATAGACATATTCAGAGAGATTTCTGGGAGCCTTACCCAGGTGCGCTTGGACTTTCCGGGACCTATAATAAGGCAAGCTCTCAGCCTGTTGGCTGCCAGGTACCATTGCCAGCTTGATTTCCATAATGGGTGATAGCCTGATAGGAGAGAGTAGACTGTTGTTGCAGTTACCGGGTGTGTGACCCTGCTCCTAGCATTTGCGAGCTACATGGAAATGTAGGGCTATGGCTCATTTCGAATAGGCTAAGCATCTACCATTGAGAACTGAAGGTCATCTGCCTGGTCCCAAAGGTGCCTTGAGACCAGGAGATGGCCCTGAGGTGAAAAATATATCCATTTGAAGGAGAGTTACTCTGCTTGTTTTTCAGTTGCCTTGAGACCAGGAGATGGCCCTGAGGTGAAAAATATATCCATTTGAAGGAGTTACTCTTGCTTGTTTTTAAGCGAAGGCGCCCTTAACGCAGCCCATGTGGTTGAATGGTACACCCATCAACTGTTGGTTTCAGACCTGCAGTGGGCGCTTGAAGCGAAATTCAATCCGCATGTCGAATTACACAAGCAAAATAACTCTGTGACATCTCAAGGGTGACGGACACCCTTCTCATGAAATTAATGCAAAAGAGAAACAAGAACAAAAGGGATCTTACTCCCGCAGCTGGATGAAGGCTGCTCGAGAAGTTAGACTCTGCTCTCCCGCATCAGGTCAGACTCTTCTGAAGCTACTTCTTGCTCCCTGCCCTGTCTCCTTCCCTGCCCTTCCCTGCCCTGCGCTGCACTTCGCTCAAGGTGGAATGACAGGTGGGTGGATGCTGGATGAAGGCTGCTCGAGACCTTAACCTCTGGTTTTTCTGCCACATCGAGTTCTTCTAGTAGTTGATTTTATTATTCGGGTTCCATATGGATTCGAAACTCAGGTCTGTATTTGAACAGTTCATTGGTGTAAGATCTGGTTCCATCTGGATTCAAACACAGGTCTGTATTTATTTCGACAGGTCATTTGGTGTAAGACCTGGTTCCATCTGGATTCGAACTGAGGTCTGCATTTCGACAGTGCATTGGTGTAAAATCTGTTCCATCTGGATTCAAACTCAGGACCTGGTCTGCATTTCGACAGTTCATCGGTGTGAAATCTGGTTCCATCTGGATTCGAACTGAGGTCTGCATTTCAACAGTTCATTGGTGTACAATCTGGCTCCGTCTGGATTTGAACTCAGGACCTGGTCTGCATTTTTCGACAGTTCATTGGTGTAAAATCTGCTTCCATCTGGATTCCAACACAGGTCTGTATTTCAACAGGTCATTTGGTGTAAATCTGGTTCTATCCGGATTCGAACTCAGGTCTGTATTTCAACAGGTCATTGGTGTAGTACCAACTGAGCTACGAAGGCCAGTTAGTACATCGAGTTCTTCTCAAGCTACTTCTCCCTGCCCTGCCCCGCGCTGGTCTCTACTCATGCTGGAATGACGGGTGCATTAGGGAGTGCGCCAGGCCCCTTGACAAGTCCCAATGCGCGACCACGCCAAATGTGTCGGCGAATGTGCGCTTTTTGAGCTTTACCACACCCATGCATTTACGACTCTCTGGGTCTGAATGGGTGGACAAGTGGCGTTTGGCCTCGCTTCAAGGCATATACGCACACAAGGACTTTTTCTACTAAGCTCTGGACGTGATTACGGTCAGATGCATCCAGGTCTGGTCGTAAATACAGCCACATATCTATCTATAGTAAACTAAACGCGGCTGAGGAAACTAAATGCGATCTTCTGCACACCTCCACGAACATGTCCAGATTCAGCCACTCTGAGGAAACTGAACGCTGCTAGTGGGAATTCGCCCCCGAGTGGAGGCACTTGTCACTCAACCACAGGAAGGGGGCAGTGGGCACGAAGTCCATAAACAATGAAAGTGAAGTGAAAACGTTTTTTCACTTCTTTTTTTTTTTGTTCTGTTGGGAAGAGAATACCTTGCACCCAGTAAAAAAAGAAGAAAAGTCCTTCCGGACATCCGTTAAAATTGGAACGAAACAGAGAAGATTAGCATGGCCCCTGCAGAAGGATGACACGCATAAATTGAGAAATGTTCCTTTCTTTTTTTTTTAAAGAAAAAAAGAAAATTTGGAACGATACAGAGAAGAGTAGCATGGCCCCTACACAAGGATGACACACAAGTTTTTTTTTAAAAAGGAGAGAAAAAAATAAAAATTAAGAAGAGAAAAACTAGGAGGGAAAATTTGCAAACGACCCTTGAAAAGTCACGTATATGCTAAAATACCGCTCTGAAATTTCAGAAGTTTGTAAAATGCCATTTTCCATGTAGATATTTGCCTTACATCCCTGTCAGGGGGTTTGCCAAATCTGTGATATACCCACGGTTTATATATGGCGATGTATATGTATGTATACGATACCAGGCAGGGTCAACCAGACCCACAGCAGAGGTGTCCAGCGAGGTATATCACACTAACGGCGGGTATATATGGCGATGTATATGTAATATGTATGTATATACCGCTGCTGCTGAGCCTTTGGAGGAGAAATCTCTGGACACCTCTGCCGCATAAATTTGTCACACTAATCGCTGCAGCATGTGCGGCATGTGTGAGACAGGGTTCCTCAACGTCGCGTTCCATTGCCAGCAGAACGCGCGTGAATGCGTCAGGGCGCCATTACTCTCTTAATCAGT